GTGCTCTCATCCCACCTGAAGTGGAATGCAGTTTCGACCCCACCTGAAATGGTCTCATCAGCACCCTTAGCACGACTGGAACCATGACAGTTCAGTGTATAATCTCGATATATTAGCCACTACGCCACATTGTTTGTGCACCCCTGGGGCTGCCGACGAGACCAGTTGAGGCGAAGTGAAAAATGCAGTCCATTTCTCCCTGAATCAGAAGGGGAGCAAGGTTATATCAAATAATTATATTATGTTGTGGGTAAAATTTAAGTCCCATTTCTTTATTACTTTAAACAAAATGGGGTAAATACACCTCATATACAGGATTCACTAATAGTCTCAAAAACTTGATTTAAAGCATCGCCGCTATTTCTATTCTCAAAGGCGGTGCCACTTGATGACTGAAGTATTTCTAAGAGATTTTAAATTTTTATTCTAAAACCTTGAATCCTCTCCTTGGGAAATCTTTCAGAATGTTAGTTTTGTATGCAAGGAATTCTCCTATTCTTTTCTTACCATCTTGTATGTCTTCTTGCTGGTTGCAATCTTAATCTGCTCTGCATAACCTGGAAGTTTATCACCGGTAGGTGGAAAGCATGTGCACATTCCCAAAAGAATTGGCATTTTTAATTTAGATGATTTGAATTTTTCATTTATAAGTAGGGTTTCGAGACTGCCAGCTAGCCAGTTGAATGAGATGTATTCACCCTATTTCATTAAAGCTAATGAAGAACTGACAGTTGAATTTTTCCACAATGATCTGAGTAGAGTTAATGTTTTCATTTAATTTCACATATACTTGCTTTCTCAAAAAGTACTCTCATCCATGATAACCACTTTTGGGAAAGCAAGAATATGTGAAATTCAGCTCTACTCAGATCATTGTGGTAAAATTAAACTGTCAGTTTTCCCCATCTTAAACGAAATATGGCGAATAAATTTCATATATATGGTTCAAAGTTCGCCGAAGTATTTCAGTTTGATTTGCAGTTTGGCGTTCGGACCATTGTGTATTTGGCCTAAAATTCTTGCCATAAACTGGAGACATCTTTTTGATACTTATCAATCCAGAGTTAGTTTAGTGTTAGTTTGACTCGGCTTTCGCAACTTTGTCGGTGAAGTCACCAAAAAAGTGTTACTTATGTGCATGGTTATGAGACCAAAGCTCATATTACTTATTGTACAGCTAATTATCATAAAATTTGAAATAAAATTAAAATAACTTTGAAATTATGCTAATAGAGGAGTGAGGAATATAAATTCATGTTGCATAATCATTTAATTGAGCAAAAGAGAACGAATAATAGCCCCTGGCTAGAACCTACAGTTTAGGATCATTCTGAAGACAGGCAGTGACAGCCCCCATACTCGGTTGGCTAGTCATGCCACTCAGGCTGTCGACGGCGACGTCCACGATGTCTGCGCCAGCCTCTGCGGCAGCCAGCATCGAGGCTACCCCAGCTCCGGCGGTGTCGTGTGTGTGTACGTGGATGGGAATGTCGGGATGACGGTCGCGAATCGCTGTAATGAGAAGGCGAGCGGCAGCTGGCTTCAACAGACCTAGTCATCGGGAAATAGTTTTGCAGAGAAGGGAATAAGGATAGAAGAATAGGAGGTAGACTCACAAGAACGAGGCAAGTGAACAATTGAAAGCTGTATCATGTCGATGGTGGAGCAGACACAGGCAAAGAAAAGATAACAGGGACTCATGAGCTCAGATGACAGGTTGGCAAAAATAAACTTGGAATAAAATAGAATAAATACACGCATAAACAAGCTCGATGAAGTGAGTATAGTATTCTGTGTAATGAGTCTCGAAACCCTACTCACTTACGAATATAGTATTCTGTCCATGATTAAATGAAGGCAAATATGAAGACCAATATGTCGTGGCCTCTGCCTTGGTCGCAGTCTTTTTTTGTCATGTAGAAGTGGTATGACCTCGTTTACGCGATTTGGTCGTCTTATTAGAGGGTCTTACTTGGACGCACCCTTGTCCGAAGTCATCTACTATAGTCGATGTCATAATTTCCAGTACTTGATACATTCACAGACGTTTCTCTAGGATCGCCAGTGAGTCTTGCCATTCTCAGCACCAAGCTACAACTCGTATTGACTTTGACCAACTTTCTGCCGAACTGTTGTCCTATTCTGGCATATCTATCTACTCACCCCTTACCTACCACAACTTCTGACTTGTTAACACTCGACTCTTAAAGAAGTGTGCCTTTTTAAGGAGCTTAGTATGGCGTCACCACCCGCTCTATTTACCTTGCACCCCCTTCCTCTCGATTTGCTTATCCGATTCGGTCTTCCTTTCCAAATCTTCTTCATGGGCCCGTGGATCCATTTCTTATATTTCTGGCTGACCGATTTCAGTCTGTTCCAGTCCGAGTATAAGTTTTACTCCAGAGGCATGTACTAAGTCGCCCTGACAACACGACCAAGTTGTCAGATCACTTGTAAATGAAGGCAGCTTCCTAATGCATTCGTA